TCAGCACATCACTATTGATTTGTATTACTTTCATTAAATCCATCTTTTTGCAGTTTTTGCCTTTTGGGCCTCATTTGTTTTTCACCCACGTGACGTGACAGAATGACGGAACCACACAAGGCCCAAGCAGACTGCTTTATTTTTGTTTTTTATTTTCTGTCATCTCTGGCCTTTGTCCCCGACTGGTCTCAAGAGTTGCTGCAGGAGCTGGACGCATCCCTGTCTGTCTGTGTCCTGGACCACTGCAGGACACTTTGCTCCGTCCTGGGTGGTTGCAGGCTTTCGTCCCTGACTTGGCTCCGCTGGATATTGTTCTCCATCCAGGGGGCCTTCCGTACCCGTTTTGCTCCAGTCCCGGCTCAGGTTCCTGCTCCAGCTCTGAGGCTTCACGTCCCGGCCCCGGCTTCACGTCCCAGCTCTGAGGCTTCACGTCCCGGCCCCGGCTTCACGTCCCAGCCCCGGCTTCACGTCCCGGCCCCGGCTTCACGTCTTGGCCCCGGCTTCACGTCTTGGCCCCGGCTTCACGTCCCGGCCCCGGCTTCACGTGCCGGTTACACGCCCCGGTCCTTCCTACGGTCCCCCTCCTTCCTCCCTCCCTGGTTTTGTTTTGGGACGTCTGGGATCCGTCCCTTGAGGAGAGGGTACTGTCATGGTTTAAGTTTATTTCCTGTTTTATTTTGAAATGTGTTATTCCTGTGTCTTCTTTGGTTGTACTTCCTGTTGTCTGATTACCTGCCCTGCCCTCATCTGTCTCACCTGTGTCTCGTTTGTCTTGTATTTAGCCCTGTGTGTTCCTTCACTCCCTGTTCCGTCATTGTCATTCCTAGTCTGTTTTAGTTCTGTCCGTTCCCTGTGTTTTTGGTAGGTCTTGATTTGTATTACTTTCATTAAATCCATCTTTTTGCAGTTTTTGCCTTTTGGGCCTCATTTGTTTTTCACCCACGTGACGTGACATTTACCTTGCTTACTCACCTGTAAGCAAGTGAATTAAACTTACTTGCCATTGCCTGAAATAAATGAACAAATGAAAAAGTATTCTTATTTGTATTGAACGAGAAAGAAGTTGTGTTTAGAGGAAGTGGAAGTTGGAGGTGTAAGTCACACCCAAAACACTTTAAAAACCTAAAGAAAAACATGAATATTCAAACCAGCCTTGGACAGAACGACGACGGATCGAACCAAACCGTCTGAGTTCAAAGTGAACAGAGAGACGGCGGCAGGGTCAGGGCTCGGACATGGACTCACAGATGGTCCTCGTACTGCTCCTGTGCTCAGGTGAGCTCTTTAACATTGTAGACATCATCAGGACTGTCCTACTCATAACTCCTCCATCATCAGACACAGAGAATCAGCTCCAAATCTGAGGCCACGGTGCTCGAAAAAGGTGCCTTGCCCTCTCCAGGTGGGTGGGGAGGTCCTTCCTCAAGTGGAGGAGTTCAAGTATCTCGGGGTCTTGTTCACGAGTGAGGGAAGAATGGAGCGTGAGATTGACAGGCGGATCGGTGCAGCGTGCGCAGTGATGCGGTCTCTGTATCGGACCGTTGTGGTAAAGAGGGAGCTGAGCCGAAAGGCAAAGCTCTCGATTTACCGGTCAATCTTCGTTCCCTCCCTCACCTATGGTCATGAGCTTTGGGTAATGACCGAAACAACAAGATCACGGATACAAGCGTTAAAATGAGCTTCCTCCGCAGAGTGGCTGGGCGCTCCCTTAGAGATAGGGTGAGGTGGCTCGGGCATCTGTTCAGGATGTCTCCTGGACGCCTCCCTGGGGAGGTATTCAGAGTACGTCCCACCGGGAGGAGACCCCAGGGAACCCCCAGGACTCGCTGGAGGGACTTTGTCTCTCTAGTGTGTGTGGATAGGGAAGTCTGGGCTTAGACTGCTTCCCCCGGGACCCGGCAACGGATGAAGCGGAAGAAAATAGATGGATGAACGGATGGATGGTTACAGGAAATTGAAAATAAAAAGATAGTTGGCACAGTATTTTTAGATTTAAGTGTGGCTTTTTGATCTTTTAGATCATACCCATCCATCCATCCATTTTCTACCCTTTAATCCATTTCTGGGTCAGGGGGGTGGCAATCAGAGATGCCACCCAAGTCTCATAGCACCAGCCCCTCACTGACCCTCTGCAGGTGGTGAGTCCACAGGAGGACAGCTGCTCTCTGAGTGTGAGCATAGCCTTGATCTTTCAGTGGGGGCTTTGGGCAAAGTGGGGTTAAGTGTCTTGCCCAAGGACACAACGACAGCAGTCATCAGTGGGAGTCGGTGGAGAAGGTGTAGAGGTGGGAATTGAACCCACGACCTTCAGGCCTGAAGGCCAATGCTCTACCAACTGAGCTTAGATCATACCATTATACTAAATAAGTTGAAATGTTATGGATTTGATTTGCCTGCCTACAGGTAGTCAGAAAGTTATCTACATAATTGGGAGTACAAAGTTTATTTTATTGTAAATGTATTCTAATGTTGGACATATGGATTGTGGAGTGCCTCAGGGAAGATGTTTGGGAAGTGATCTTCCCTGGTATTAAAACATGCATGGCTTTATATGCAGATGACACAACATTGTTTGTATCTGCACAAACAGATTGCCAACTTAATTAACATTCTACATGAGGAACTGGCCTCAGTAACTAATGGATCAAAGCTAAAGAAGTAGTAATAAATGTCAAAAAAAAGTAAATGCATGGTGGTTGTTTCAAAATACCTACTGAACACAACACAGATGTTACACCTGACCTCATGAAATACGATAATAACAAGTAGATCAAGCCAAATTGTTAGGAGTAATAGTAGACTCTAGACTGTCGTAGACCAGTCAAATTATATATGATTTGCAGAAAATGGGCAGCGTGAGCATAATTAAATATTGTAGAAAAGCTTTTCCTTTGTGGTTGACCAAACAATTAGTTCAATCACTTAGTTTAATACTTTTACTTACAGACTATGCATCAGTTGTTTGGTCAAACACAAGTAAAAATTATCTACACGAGCTACGAGTAGCTCAAAATAAAGCGGCACAATAGTTTGGCATGGTTAACAGTCAAATGTAGATTATAATGTTTCCTAATAACATTTATAAGGAACATTATTATCACAAAAATACGTAAAGTGATACATAATAAATTGTCTTGTTTCTCAGATAATCATAGTTATAAAACACGTCGGTGTAACACGGTGTGCTCTGCTGTAAAACTAATCGGATGCAGCGAACTGTTTGTGACAGAGCCATGGTTGCCTGGATTTTTGTAATTAGAGAAAAGCAAAATATGTTTTCAAAAGAAGTTAAAGCTGTTTTTGTTTACACAAAAATTAATTTTGGTTAATATTAGGGCTGCCAAAATTATCGCGTTAAAGCACCTTAATTTAATTATTTCCTTAATCGCATTTAAAAAAATAACGCATTTGACGCAAGTACCGAATGCACCGCCCATGCATCCCATAATAACACTCAGAATGACACGCCCGTACGTGTGTGCGTGTGCGTGTGCGTGCGCGCGCGCGCGCGTGCGTGCGTGCGTGCGTGCGTGCGTGCGTGCGTGCGTGCGTGCTGATGACGTGCGTGCGCACGCACGTCATCAGACATTTTCATAAAACTATTGGTTGGACATTTTGTTAGCAGTCTGAGCAGGGGCAGAGACAGAGAGCATCGCAGAGCGCCTGGATGTTCTCTGCTCATTTTCAGGCCTGGAAGGGACAGTTAAAATGGCTCAGTACAGGGTTAGTTAGGGAATTAATAGTTTTGTATTCATATTTAATTGTAAAGATAATTAAATATTGTTCTATTTTTATCTCTTGAATGCTTGGTCTTATATTTGTATCAAATTCGAACACGTCTGTCTTTTTTTTTTGACAATAGTGTGTGTGTGTGTGTCGTTTTTTTTTTTTTTTTGTAATATTGTAAACATTTGTAATTAAAATGAGGGAGACCTCAGGTAGAATAGCTCCTGCAATAAGTCAGGAGCTAAAGGTGCACATTTTTGATCCTCATAGGGCAATTTACGTCAGGCGCAGTGGTCGCCGTAACAGCACCCGGGAACCCATCTGTTGTTGATGCTCGGCTTGGTCGGGACCAGAGCTGGAGAATTTAACCTAATGCATGTTTTTAGTGGTAGTGGAAACCGGAGTACCTGGAGAAAACCTACACAGCACGGGGAGAACATGCAAACTCCATTCAGAAAGGCGCTGTTAAGACCGGGATTTGAACCCAGGACCTTCTTGCTGTGAAGTGTGAGTGCTTTCCGCTCAGCCATCAGTGGCTAATGGAGCTCATGGGGCTCTCAATGTAATGTAATGTCATGTCATAGTAACTCATGATTAATCGCATATTTGTCCCTGCTGCGTTTTTGTGCTTGTGTCGATCACACTTAGGACTTGCAGCTGTTTCCAGAGTATTCAAAAGTAAACGTAGTGAATGGTTTACGGCGTTATTAATGCGATAAACTGACTGCACTCATTTCTATCTGGCATCTCGACCAGACTTTTTCAGACTTGTTAATCTGCTGTGACCGCTACATTTGCACAAATGTGGAATTCTGTGACACAATCAAAAACTTGTGTCAGTGCAGTGGTCTCTCACAGTATCACACTTCTCCTTCACCAAGACTCGAGACTCGACTCGGACTCGTGGTTTTGGGACTTGCGAGTCTCTGAGGTGATACTTCTCCATTTATAATCTGTTGTTATTGGACTTGACTTGGACTTGACTTGGACTTGACTTGGTCTTTTGTAACTGTGGTTTCTGTCTTTCAGTCTATGTTTCAGGAGCTTCTAAATGTGAGTATGTTCCAGCTTTGTCCATCTCAGTTGGAAACCTGGAGGCTCTGAATGGAACATGTTTGCTGATTCCCTGCACTTTCACTTTGGCTCCTGTTCATGAAAATAAGATACAACTGGACAAACCTGTTGTGGCCATTTGGAGTAAAACACATCCAAACTTAGGACGACCTGGAGTTAGAAAGTTCTTTGACAGTTCTGATCCCGGCCTCAGATCTTCAATGACTTTAACTGGAGACCTGCGACAGCGAAACTGCACCACTCTGTTCACTGAGATCCACACCAGTCATTCTGATAAATATTACCTCAGAATAGAAAACCAAGGGTTCAAGAGCACTGCCACCTGTGACCCGCTGCAGATACACGTCCGAGGTGAGACACTCTTCCTTAACTCTGTCCTCACTCAGTACTGAGGTAATGACTTTTTAAATGTTTGTAAAACTGAAACCGACGCAAACATACGGCTGTTTGATTTAAGGCTGTAAAACCCCTCACACTTTATACATTTTTCTAACCTCCTGAAAGACTGCTGAAGAGAGAGAGACCAGAGAGAGACCAGAGGAGACCAGAGAGAGACCAGAGAGAGACCAGAGAGAGACCAGAGGAGACCAGAGAGAGACCAGAGAGAGACTAGAGGGAGACTAGAGAGAAACTAGAGAGAAATCAGAAAGAAGAGACAATTCCCTTGCAGCATGTCTAAAAGCTCCTTGTGCAGGAGTTGTGCTATACAAATCCAGTTGCCTTGTGTCCATGTCCCGCAGTGAGAACAGTATAAAGGCCTGTCTCTGTTGCAGACAGTGAGAACAGTATAAAGGCCTGTCTCTGTTGCAGACAGTGAGAACAGTATAAAGGTCTGTCTCTGTTGCAGACAGTGAGAACAGTATAAAGGTCTGTCTCTGTTGCAGACTCTGCCTGGAGGCCCTCAGTGCAGATCTCTGGTTCTCTCAGGGAGCAGCAGACCGTGGTCATCAGCTGCTCTGCTCTCACTCCATGTCCAGACGCTCCTCCTGTTCTCAGCTGGAGCCTGCAGCAGACGCCTGCTCACAGCCTGCTGCCAAACCCTGATGGAACCGTCAACAGCATCATCCAGCAGAGCCTGCTGTTGTCTGAGGAGCACCACGGACTGGAACTGCTCTGCTCCGCCCTGTATCCAGTGAGAGGAGGATACAAGGAGGCAAAGACCACAATGACCCTCACCGTGGACCGTGAGTTATGGGAAACAGTGTATTTCCTGTGTTTGAATTATTTAATTCTCTGATTAGGTGCAGCGTGCGCAGTGATGCGGTCGCTTTATTGGACTGTCATAGTGAAGAGGGAGCTGAGCCGAAAGGCAAAGTTCTCGATTTACCGGTCAATCTTCGTTCCCTCCCTCACCTATGGTCATGAGCTTTGGGTAATGACCGAAAGAACAAGATCGCGGATAAAAGCGTCAAAATGAGCTTCCTCCGCAGAGTGGCTGCTCCCTTAGAGATCGGGTGAGGAGATATGTCACACAGGATGAGCTCGGAGAAGAGCCGCTGCTTCTGCAGGTCGAGAGGAACCAGTTGAGGTAACTCGGGCATCTGTTTCGGATGCCTCCTAGACGCCTCCCTGGGGAGGTGTTCCGGGTACGTCCCTAAGGGAGGAAACCCCGGGGAAGACCCAGGACATGCTGGAGGGACTATGTCTCTCAGCTGGCCTGGGAACGCCTTGGGGTCCCCCCGGACGAGCTGGAGGAAGTGTGTGTGGATAGGGAAGTCTGGGCGTCTCTGCGTAGACTGCTGCCCCCGCGACCTGACAACAGATGAAGGGGAAGAAAATGGATGGATAGATGGATGGATTCTCTGATCTGTGTTAGCGAATTGTCAACTTCATAAAGTCCTCCAAGATGACTGCTGTTGTGATTTAGGGCAAGACAAAAATAGTTTTCATTGAAGTGCATTTCTTTGACTTAGACAGGTGGGGAGTTAGAGTACTCTGATGATCCTAGGAACTATGTAGTTTGGGGCTTCATGTCCCTGGTCGAGGGAAAACAGGTCCGAGGTCACGGGTCAGACGAAGCCCATCATTGGATTCTCGCAAATATTATCCCTAATGTTGTCATATGTCAGTGTCAGTGACATAAAGTGACTTATTGCACAGTACAGTATCCGTGACGTTGTCTGTTATGAGGGTTCAGGGTTGCCCACCCTGGAGCCAGGCCTGGGGTTGGGGCTCAGCCCTAAAGGAAGACGTGGACCGGCTCTCCTGTGGACCCACCAACCACAAAGGTATCCATGAGGGTGGGGTGAACAGAACCGGGTGGCAGTCGAAAGCGGAGACCTCAATGACCCAGCTACCATCTGGCTCTTGCGGCATGGAACATCACCTCACTGGGGGGGAGAGCCCGTGTTCGTGGGGGAGGTTGAGAGATATCACCTAGAGATAGTCGGCCTCACCTCCACACACAGCTTAAGCTCTGTAACCCAACTTCTTGAGAGGGGTTGGATGCTTCATTTCTCTGGCATTTCTCGCGGGGAGAAGCGGCAAGCAGGGGTGGGCATACTAACTGCCACCCATCTCAACCACCACGTGTTGGAATCCTCCCCGGTGAATGAGAGGAACTTTTTCCCCATCCAACAACTTACTCTCTGTTGTGGTGGCCTACGGGCCAAAAAGCAGAGCAGTGTACCTGGCCTTCTTAGGAGTCCATTCTGAGAAGGGGTTGTAACAGCCAGTTATGTTAAATTATACTGTTGTAGAACCATTTTCCATGGAGCATGACGGTTGGTGTGTACAGCTGCTGACCTCAACTGGGGATATTGTCGGGCAGTGGAAGGAATACTTTGAGGTTCTCCTCAATCCCCCGTCACCTCCTCTATCTCAGCAGCAGAGGCTGAGGATGTTGGGGCAGATACTTCCATCTCCCTGGCTGAAGTCACCAAGGTTGTTGACAGCCCCTTTGGTGGTGAGGCTACGGGAGTGAATGAGATCCCTCTTAACTCTTGCGTCTCGAGATGTTGGAGGACTGTCTTGGAGGACACGTCTCGATATTTTCTTGAGTTTTGGGTGAGGATCAAAAGGAGATGATTGAAAATACAAGTGGAAAAAATAGCTTCCTCCGCGGAGTGGCTGGATCCTCCTTTAGAGATAGCGGGAGGTGCTCAGTCACTCGGGGGGAGCTTGAAGTAGAACCGCTGCTTCTTCACGTGGACAGGAGACAGATGAGGTGGGATGCCTCAACGGGGGGGTGTCCCGGGCATGTCCCGCCGGGAGGAGACCAAGGAAAGACCCAGGACACGTTTGAGGAACTGTGACTCACCCACACAAATATGGAAATCGATGGCGGAAACTCGCCACGACCGAGCAAGCACGACGGTGTCTCAGAAGGACACGACATAGTGGATAACTTTCTGCGCGACTTCACAGAGAAGTTATCCCCAGGGGGCTATGACACGCTTGAGCACAGCTCACTCCCTGACTTACAAGATGCCACCTCCATATTGGCATCCGAGGCTACTACGACAAAACTCCAAGGTAAGACCCTAACCCAGTGGCTAGGACGACTAGCCATAATCTCCAGAATAACCTTGCGCGACTCCGAAGCCCAGAAAGCAAGGCTTCAAGACACAGTAAGTGAACTGGAACGGCAACTAGCGGAAGCTAGGAAGTCCGCCGCGAGCCGCTTGGAACAAATCCAACAGGTAAGTAAGAACCACCAACTGGGACCGAGCATGATTCCAAGCGCGACCATGGATCTTGATCGCGCAGCGAGAATCAGGACCGCTATTTCAAACGGAACCGGCCGTGACAGTGCCTCCGGGCCACACTCCCCTCGCTCCGACCGCGGCGAACCATCGTCCGAGAGTGAACGCAGGAGCGTGGCCGAACTGGTAAGTATCATGACGGGAAAGGACCAAAATCAAGGTCAAAGGAACAAAACACAACCCAACATTAGACACATCGACCACTTCGACCCCAGACTCGACCCACCTACAAGCCAGGCGACGTACCACGGGACAGACCGCTCGCGGGCCCCCGGGGACCTCTCCGTCCATGAGAGACAACCCCCGGCCGGACCCGCTGCAACGCATCGGGACGTGAAATACGAAACGCATGGCCACCAGACCCACAGACAACATGACTACCCGACCCATGACTCTGGCCCACCTGACGTCCATACGAGACATGTTTCAGACTGCCGCCATTGGGACAAAAGGGCCCGCCCTGAACATGGCGGACAACCCTACAACGACCCCCCTGGCCCACATCAGAACATGCTACATGGACCACACGACGTACGGTGCCCCAAGTCTGGGCCGTCCGCATATGCTGCGACACAATGGCCAGTGACCCGCCATGGGAACGCCGGGGACCTCCCCAATCATGGAGGACGACCCCACGGCACCCCCCCCTGACGCACGCCAGGACTTAACCCCAGGTCAACGGTACTACCCGGACTACGGGGAGACGGCCCCCGACCTCGACAGGTCGGACTTAGCCTCCCTCCGACATGATAACCCCACACTAGAACGCCCCTTCGACGTCATGGCAAGGCAAGGCAAGGCAAGTTTATTTATATAGCACAATTCATACACAAGGCAATTCAAAGTGCTGAACAAAACAAGAAAGCATTAAAATCATAAATAATCACAGTGTAACACTCAGCCCCTCGGAGCGCGCACTACAAAATACACCGAGGTAACTGTGACGCTTTATACCCGCTGTGATTGACCTAACGCTGATCAAAGAAAAACAACCACTCATTAATCTGCTGTGTGTAACGTGTACTCCATTTACTCAGTACTCAGTCCAAAACAAGCAATAATCATAAACAATATAAAAGACTTAGTCCTCCCTGCGCCCACCGTATGCCCCACTGTCAAACCTGGTGACGAGTACGTGGCTCCGGTGATAGTCAGTGTAGTTCTAAAGGCAAATCCAAGAGTTGACAAAACGATGTAGGTAATCCAAACAGAACGGGAAAGTAATCCAACTGGGAAAGTAATCCAAACGTTCAGAGTGTGGGCAGAGCGCAGTGAGTGAGTGCGCTCTCCCTCTCCAGCGTATAAAGTTCATAAACAAAACGCGCACAGGCCGTGCGTGAGCGGCAACCGGGCTCTCCTGCCGGGTCCGTCCCGAGGGTCTGTACAGTCCGCTACAATAATCCCCCCACAGATCTCCGACTCAAGTCTCTCGTGGTCTCCTCGAGCCGTGTCCAAAACCAAAAGCTCCCTCGTCTCTCTCCCGCGCACCTGATGGCAGGTCTCTGATGAGCGCTCCCTCCCGGGACACGCCCCCCCCAGTTCATTCACAAAACAGACCTGTCCCATTAGGCCCAAAACATAAACAAAGATACCTAAACCCCCATTAACACATTTTAAACATTTGTGGCTATGCTACAGAGTCCCCCCCTCCAGCCAGAGGCTACTAGTTGACCATATAACACATTTTAAGATTCACCACATTGACCACGTCCTGCTTATTGGGCAACTCCTCCCATTTGACCAGATAGTTCACAGGCCCCAACCTCCTGACTATGGAGGCTGGCCCGTCCCATCTTGGAGCTAACTTGGCAGAGAACTTCTCACTAGCCTTGGAGAGTGGATGCGCCCGAACCCAGACTTTGTCACCTGCCTCAAACTGCACCTCTTTCCTTCGAGAGTTGTAGTATTTAGCCTGGCGAACCTGGTGTACCCCCATCCTTTTCCTTACCTCTTCCCCTAGTTTTTGTTGTCGCTCAACCGCATCATAAGAGTCTTTTTGCTCAGGGCTGGGTGGTTTGTGAATGAGTCTTTGTAACGGACCATGAAGCCGCCGACCCAGAGCCAGCTCTGCCGGAGTCCTGCCAGTAGTTTCTTGCTGAGCAGTGTTGATAGCGAAACGAATCTCTGGTAGCCACTGGTCCCACATCTCATGGGAGGGCCCTACGAAGGATGCGATCATGGTTTTGATGGTCCGATTGAACCGTTCAGTGAGGTTAGTTTGAGGGTGGTAACTGGTGGTGAGTTTCTGTATCACCCCCCATGCTTTGCAGAGGTCAGTCAAGAGGCCAGCAGTAAATTGTGGACCTCGGTCCGAGACGAGAAATTTGGGAACCCCCCAACGAGTGAAGATCTCCTCTCGCAGGATCTTAATGATACGGGGAGTTTTGCTATCACGTAGTGGGAATACCTCCACCCATTTTGAATAGTAATCAACCACCACCACCAGGTAACAGTTTCCCTTTTTGCTTCGGGGAAATGGGCCCATCAGGTCGATGCCCAGCATCTCTCCTGGAGCAGTCACCTGTGTGGACTGGAGATATCCATGCGGTTTGGTGTTCTCTGGTTTATAACGCTGGCAGCTCTCACAGGACTTTGTGTGTTCCCATACATCTTTGCGTACAGTAGGCCACCAGGCAACCTCCAACACCCTCAGTAGGGTCTTCAGCCGTCCTAGATGCCCACCTAGAGGGTTATCATGGAAATACTGGAGGAACTCTGGGGCTAGGACTTGAGGGACGACAAGCTGGTACTTTTCTCCACCGTCTATTGGAACCTGGCGATAGATCACACCTTGGTGGTTAACAAAAGTGATCCGGTTGGGTTTGGCCTGTCCTGCTTTATTGAGTGTCAGGTCATGGATAAACGGGTCTTGTGTCTGTGCTTTGGCAATCTCGTCTAAGGTGGTTGGCAGGTTTTTGCTGTGTTTCCATCCAGCGAGTGCTAAACAGTGAGTGTTCTGGGATTGTTTCTCACAGGATCGTGACAGTGCGTCTGGTGCAGTGTTTGAGGCACCCTTTGCGATAGTGCACTCTGAAGGTGAACTGTTGCAATCGCAGGATCCAGCGTGTCAGACGGGAAGAAGTTTTTGGGCAATTGAAAGCCCAGGCCAGAGCAGCATGGTCAGTGAAGACATCGAAATGGATGCCCTCCAGATAGTGCCTCCACTTCTCTATGGCCCATACCACTGCCAGGCACTCCTTCTCTGATGTAGAATAGTTCTTTTCAGGGCCTCGAAGCATCCGTGAAGCATAGGCTACCACCCTCTCTCCCTCAGGAAGGGGCTGTGAGAGTATGGCTCCCAGCCCAGCCTCACTGGCATCCGTGTGAACTTGGAATGGCAGATTTTGGTTTGGTTGTGCCAGAACAGGTGGGTTGTTGAGAGCCTGCTTGAGGGCCGTGAAACTGGCTTGGCATTCAGAAGTCCATTTCCATTCCACCCCCTTCTTCTTGAGATGGTTCAATAGGGCACTGTCCGGTTTCCGAAATGTGCTAAAAATAGCTCAGATGACTGCGCATGCGCGCATGTTTCGGACAAACATTGTGTACGACTCGTTGAGTTCTACTGTGTTCTCCTCATACGCGTGTGTATTTATTTGGGCTAAATCATTGAATCATGGTGACAACAAAACACTGCAGTTATGGTGCTTGTCGGAGCGATTTCAGATACTCTGAAAAGGACTATATGAAAGTAACATTCAACCCGTTCGTTAAACCACAACATCGGACCAGACCAGGACCAGACCAGGACCAGATCAGACCAGGTGGGTGCTTGTGGTCGGCAGAATTTCTCTCATGAAAAGGTTAAAAAGGGCACATGTTTTTTCAAAACACTTCGCTGGACCAACTGTGGAGCATCCAGATCCAGTCCTAGCTACGTTTAGCTGGGACTGGATCTGGACCGCTGTATCAGGTCCGTCTGAGCTCTTCTGAATGTAGTTAGCACAAACTTTCTCTTTACACCATTTACCCCCATCAATCCATATTAGTATTGTTTGTCCTAATCCAGAAAGTATACAATTCTCACACCTGAAGAAAGATGAGAGGGATTTTTTTCAACTTTGTGTCTGCTTATTATACGGCTTTGTACCAATTGAACACACAAAATAAACGTCATTCACTACTCATGCCGAAAGGTTTATTTAATGAGTGCAAAGAAAATAGTTCCCAAAGGTTTTCCCGTGGCAGGCGAGTAACAGTGAGGATAGTTAACCTAAAAGCGATCGCTTTAGTCGCATTAAAAAAGTATTTTTGTCATGAAAACCTGAACAGTTAATTCTGAAAACCTCCGTGCACTTGTGTTATGAATGTGTATAATGTATTCTCCCATTAACATTTAAATGTGTTGATTGATTGTCATTTGCGTTTACTGAGTGTGGCTAGCTCTGATAGTTTCTCTCAGAGACAGTGGCGTAACCCGTTGTGATCATGGATTTATTATAATATCAGCTGACTGTAGCTAACTAATGATCAAACTAATTACAAAGTGGATAGTGCAAAAACAACTTGATAAATGGAAGTTAATCACAGCAAAACAAACAAAGAAGGCGCTAGCATTGCAATTTAAATGACTAGATAATGTTAGCATAATCCTCACCATTACCTTTTTATCAAATCAAACTTTCTACCAGTTACTGGAAGACCACGACATTCAAGCCAACGTTATAATTGGTCTACACTATGATCCCTGATGGTTTGATGGTGGAATTTTGCCCCTGGTATATCATTTTCGTCTAAAGTGACAAGTGGTATTTGATTCATTTCGGCAGTGTTTGTCCGAAACATGTGGGCGGGAGTTGACAGGCGGCGGGGGCGTGTCTTAGTGACGTCATTTAGATAGTTCGCTATGGGGCGGCCATGTCCGCGAAGCCCAGAATGAATTTGTGGTACCAGCCCGCGAGCCCCAGAAAACGCTGCAGTTCTTTAATGTCCTGTGGCACGGGGAACTCTGACACTGCTTTGGTTTTGGATGGATCCACCTCCACACCCCGAGAAGACACGATATGTCCCAAGAACTTTAGTTCTCTCTTGAAGAACTGACACTTCTTCATGTTCAGGCTGAGATTGGCTGCCTGTAGCTTTTGGAAGACAGAGTTCAGGTCTCTAGAATGTTGTTCACGGGACGTAGAGTATACAATGATATCGTCAATGTAAACAAAGCACATCCTGCCTCTCAGCTCTCCCAACACCTTCTCCATCAATCTTTGAAAGGTGGCTGCCGCGTTCCGCAAACCGAAGGGCATGCGTTTGAACTGGAAGAGTCCCAGAGTTGTGATGAAAGCTGTCTTTTGTTTGCTGTTTTCATCCATGGCTATCTGCCAATACCCCGACTGTAGGTCCAAGGCGCTGAACCATGTCGCACCCTCTAGTGACTCGAGGATCTCATGGATGATTGGCATGGGGTAAGCGTCTGGGAGGGTTTTAGCATTAACCTTGCGAAAGTCTATACAGAATCGCTCCCGGCCATCAGGACGATCGACCATGACCACGGGTGAGGACCAAGATGACTGAGATGGCTCTATGATGTCCTCGTCCAGCATTTTCTCGACATGCTCTTCAATGATTCTCTTTTTGAGGGGAGATACCCTGTAAGCTCGAGATTTAACTGGCACCTCATCCTGGGTGTAAATTGTGTGCTTTTCCACTGTGGTCTTGCCGAGCACACTGGAAGTCACTGTGGGCCAGGCATTAATGAGTTGAGAAAGTTCATTGGGCTGGTCGACAGAGACAGAGTTCATCATGAGCGGATACGAGGTCCAACATGGCAGGAATCTGCCCGGTTGGGGTGCGTAATATAAATGCACCCTCGGAACAGTTCTCGTCCATGGACCCGGTCTTGTGGGCGGCAGAAGGAAGGGATGGAAAACATAACCATTTGCCGTTTGTAATCCATAAACGCGTTTAGCCAGGTCTAGGATAACCCCAGCATCAGTCAGAAAATCCAGTCCGATTATCATGGGAAAAGCGAGATGTCTGTCGTCCATAACATGCGCCTCGACACTCAGCTTTCGACCATGCCAGTCCAGTCCGAAGCGTTGTTTTCCCAGGGCAACATGCGCGGTTCCATCCGCCATGACAAACCTCTGGTCCTCTGATGGAATCAAGTCTCTTGAGGTGCCATGGAGGTTCCTCCATAGACCCTCTCGCATGAGCGTGTAGGTACTTCCGGTATCCACCACAGCCACTCCCTGGACATTGCATATGGTAAGAGGAACCAACAGCAGCTCTGCTCTCTGCATTTGGGGCGGTGGAGGTTGGGTGACAACTGCATTGAATTTATTCCCACCTCTTTTTTCTAGGGCCCTTTTCCCAGTTCCCTCGGTGGAGGCATGCACTTTCTGCCAATAGCCTTTAGCGCTACCACAGTCTTTCTCCACCATGGACCCCACTTTCACCAGGTCTGTGACCGTATGGACAGTTCCTCTCAAACACCCCGCTACTTTTGGATTTGTGTTGTTAAGTATGCGTCTCACGATTTCTTCCTCGGGCATATCCGGTTTCCATTTGAGACACAGGGCCTGGTAATCATAAGCAAAGTCCCGCAGACGTTGGTCGGGCTGCTGCACCAGCTCCCTCAGCTTTTCCTCCACTTCCGCCATATAGTCCGTGGGAAGGAATGCGTTCAAAAATGTCTCTTTAAACATACTCCAATCAAGCACCTGGCCTTTTGCAGCTTTCCACCAGCTTAGCGCAGGTCCCCTCAACACGGAGGATAATGTCCCCATCAGTTCTGGTACCGAGAGTGGGCGTAACTCCAAAAAGTTCTCTGCTTGTTCCACAAAACTCAACACGTCCGCGGTTTCACAACTAGGTCCAAATGTGGGGAAATCCAAACGGACTGGAGGCTTGAAGTAGAACGGGGATACACCAGGCATACTAAAGGTGGCATTAAGGGGAGGGGGACCACCCATGTCAGTGGATACAGCAATGGTTCTCTGATTAATAGGGGTACTAGTGGGACGCAAAGTACTAATCTCTCTTTGCCACTTCTCATCCCTCCTCTTTAAACAGCTAACCATGTTCTTATCTAACACCTCTATCTTGTCCTGGAATTCCTGTTCCATTTTTGCCAAAGCCCTTTCAACACTCTCCCTAAAGGATGTTTCTCTGTTGAGAGAACTAGACACAGACTCTCTGTGAGTAGTCTCCAGAGCTCCTAGGTGACATTCCAAAACCCTCATTCTGTTCTGCATACTGTCCCAGTCAGTCTGGGAAATGTCCACTCTATTCTCCCTCTGCACCACTACAGGAGTAAGAGGCTCCAACAGCCCTCTCCCAAGAGCTCCCAAAGCCTCCTCCCCATTCTGACTAGTATGGTCGGAATTTTCCTCATTAACTCTGTCCTGTGAGTGAGCCCGTTCTATTCTGTCATCTCCATTCTGACTGACGTCTCCATCATGAAGATACAGTGAGTCTAACAGTGACTCGATCTCCCCCGTAGGATTTCTGCGAGCTACGAACGGCCCTGCGGTAAAGTCTGGGTTGTCCTGATCTGCGCTCTCCTGATCCCCCATGTCAATGTAACACACCCACACACACACCCGAGTGGTATATATATATAAAAAAACAAGCGTTTACAAATGTACAAATCACAGACAAAATCACAAGTCCTCGTACGGGCCACCATATGTAACACTCAGCCCCTCGGAGCGCGCACTACAAAATACATCGAGGTAACTGTGACGCTTTATACCCGCTGTGATTGACCTAACGCTGATCAAAGAAAAACAACCACTCATTAATCTGCTGTGTGTAACGTGTACTCCATTTACTCAGTACTCAGTCCAAAACAAGCAATAATCATAAACAATATAAAAGACTTAGTCCTCCCTGCGCCCACCGTATGCCCCACTGTCAAACCTGGTGACGAGTACGTGGCTCCGGTGATAGTCAGTGTAGTTCTAAAGGCAAATCCAAGAGTTGACAAAACGATGTAGGTAATCCAAACAGAACGGGAAAGTAATCCAACTGGGAAAGTAATCCAAACGTTCAGAGTGTGGGCAGAGCGCAGTGAGTGAGTGCGCTCTCCCTCTCCAGCGTATAAAGTTCATAAACAAAACGCGCACAGGCCGTGCGTGAGCGGCAACCGGGCTCTCCTGCCGGGTCCGTCCCGAGGGTCTGTACAGTCCGCTACAATAATCCCCCCACAGATCTCCGACTCAAGTCTCTCGTGGTCTCCTCGAGCCGTGTCCAAAACCAAAAGCTCCCTCGTCTCTCTCCCGCGCACCTGATGGCAGGTCTCTGATGAGCGCTCCCTCCCGGGACACGCCCCCCCAGTTCATTCACAAAACAGACCTGTCCCATTAGGCCCAAAACATAAACAAAGATACCTAAACCCCCATTAACACATTTTAAACATTTGTGGCTATGCTACAACAGAACATTAAAAAGAAAGCTAAAAATATAAAATCCCTCAGTTGTATGCACAGCTAAACAGAACTGTCTTTAACCTGGTTTTAAACATTGTCAGAGAGGAGGCCTGTCTCACATCTTCAGGAAGACTGTTCCAGATTTTAGCAGCATGAATCTGAAAAGCAGCCTCCCCATGTTTAGTTCTGACTCTGGGCACTAACAGGAGTCCAGTCCCTGTGCTCCTCAGAGTCCGGGCTGGTTCATATGGGACTAACATGTCACTAATCTATTTTGGTGCGAGGCTATGGAGAGACTTGTACACAAGCAGAGCTGTTTTAAAGTCTATTCTCTGAGCCACAGGAAGCCAGTGCAGAGACCTGAGAACTGGACTAATGTGGTCGTACTTCCTGGTTCTAGTCAGGACTCGAGCTGCTGCATTTTGAATGTACTGCAGCTGTTTTACAGCCTGTTTGGACAGACCTGTGAGCAGGCCATTGCAGTAGTCTAACCTACTGGAGACAAATGCATGGATAAGAATCTCCAGGTCTGCTTTAGACACTATGTTTTTGATCCTGGCAATGTTTTTTAGATGGTAAAAAGCTGCTGATGTTACTGATTTGATGTGGCTATTAAAATTTAAGTCTGAGTCCAGTATTACCCCTAGATTTCTGACCTTGTTTGAAGGTTTTAGGGAGAGAGACTGTAGGTGACAGATGACGCTCTCTCTTTGTTTCCGGGGACCAAAGACAATCATTTCAGTTTTGTCTGCGTTTAGCTGAAGGAAGTTGTTTTGCATCCACTCACTGATCTGTTGGATACAGTGAAGGAGTGAGTCCACTGGTCCATGTTCTACTGCAGTCAGTGAGACATAGATCTGAGTGTTGTCTGCATAGTTGTGATAGGACACTTTGTTTCTGCGTATTAACTGACCTAACGGCAGCATGTAGAGATTGAACAGAAGAGGTCCCAGGATCGACCCCTGTGGGACTCCACAGGTCAGGGCCATATGATCTGAGACACAGTTTCCAATCTCCACAAAGTACTTCCTGTCCTCAAGGTAAGACCCAAACCAACTTAGGGCGGTGCCAGTGACGCCAACCCAGTCCTCTAGTCTCTGTAAGAGGATCTCATGGTCGACGGTGTCAAAGGCAGCACTTAGATCTAACAAGATTAAGATTGAGACTTTGCCTGCGTCAGTGTTCAGCCGGATATCGTTTGTAACCTTAACGAGAGCAGTCTCAGTGCTGTGGTGGGGTCTAAAGCCGGACTGAAACATATCAAATGAGTTGTTGATTATAAGAAATCTAGTAAGCTGTAGGTAGACAACTTTCTCAAGGACTTTCCCCATAAATGGCAGATTTGAGATGGGTCGATAGTTGTTAAGTACCGTAGCATCGAGACTGCTCTTTTTTAGCAGGGGCCTGATGACTGCAGTTTTCAGGGCCTTTGGGAATATTCCAGAATGAAGGGACATGTTTACTATCTGTGTGAGTGAAGGTAACAGACTGCTCAGAACAGACTTCAGAAATCTAGTGGGTAGTACATCCAAGCTGCATGTGGAGAAGCTCAAACTGGAGATTATCTCTTGGACAGTTTTATCATTTCATCAGGTGCAAAGTGAGTTAGCTCAGAGAGCCTTTCTGGCTGTTGGATGATTATCTGTGGATTGGAGACAATGGCGTTTTTGATGCCTTGGACTTTGTCATTGAAAAAATTAGCAAACTCATTGCATTTACGTTTGGAAGTAAGCTCTAATGGCATTTGAACAGGGGGGTTTGTTAATCTATTAACTGTTGAGAACAGAACACGCAGATTGTTGCTGCAGCCTTCAATCATTTCAGAAAAATACCTTTCTCTCGTACTACGTAGCACCCGGTTAAACTCGCACAACTTATCTTTGAAGATCTCGTAATCAACCTGGAGGTTGGACTTGCGCCACTTCCGCTCGGCCCTCCGGCACTTTCTCTTTTGTGCCCTGACCGAGTCTGCTTTAGCCCACGGCGCCTTCTGCTTATTTTTCACTATTTTAACCTTCACAGGGGCAACGGTATCCAGAACATTCAGAACACTAGAGGTGACAGAGTTAAATAGTTCATCTACAGTAGAATACGATGCATTCTCAAAGTTTATCATTCCCATAAATAGTTCACTCGTATTTTCATTTATGCGCCTTCTTCGAACAGTTGCAGAGTCCAGTGGTGGTTTGTTAGTGAAACACATGTCAAAAAAAACACAGAAATGATCCGAAAGAGCAACATCGACCACGTTTACATTTGAAATATTCACCCCCTTAGTAACTAACAGATCTAGAGTGTGCCCTCTGCTGTGGGTGGGGCCACTTACGTGCTGAGTGAGATCGAAGGATTCAATTACAGAACTCAGCTCATTTGCATTTCTGTCATCAACATTATCCACATGAATATTAAAATCACCTGTAATAACTAAACTATCAAAATCTGTGCATACAACTGAAAGCAACTCGGTAAAATTCTCAATAAAACTGTGACATGACTGTGGTGGCTTGTATAGGACAACGAAGAGTATTGGAGGAGATTGTTTTTGTTGTATTTTAAAAGACACATATTCAAATGATCAAAACTTCCCAAGAAACATTCTATGGGAGACAAAGTGGTCTCTAAAAATGGCAGCTAAGCCTCCTCCTTTTTTGTTTTCCCGTATTTCAGATTCAAACTTGAAATTTGGTGGTGATGCTTCTATTAAAACTGCATTTTCAGAATTTTGGTCAAGCCAAGTTTCAGCCATGAACATAAGATCAAGATTATGAGAACAAATAAAATTATTGATTAAAAAAGACTTGTTACAAAGAGATCTGACATTAAGCGTAGCAAGTTTCAAAGTTTCAGTATCAGCGGTTGCGGTCGGCTGATTCTTACACGGAACAAGAATTAGATTTTCCAGATTAGACTGATTAACTCCAGATGTTTTTCTGTAATGTATTCTTTGTGTTATCACTAAGGGAATGGCACAGGTGGCTTCATGACAGGGCCCCAGCTGGGTCTCTCCTCTAACTAGACTGCCAGTGGCTGCGAAGCAGAGACCCTGTGCATCCTAGTGTTTAGAGAAAAGAGGGGAAGGCAGGGGAGGAGGATGGAGAGGTGGGTGGCTTTTGGGTGTTGAACGAGGGGGGCAGGGAGGTGGAGGGTAAGTAAGTAAGTAAGTAAGTTAGTAAGTTTTTATTTATATACCGCCTTTTCACTGCAGATCTGAGTCTCAAAGCGGTTTACAATTGTTAATTTTGGGCATTTGTCTCTCACTCCACACAGAGATGGGAGCGGGGCCCGTACAGGAGGCGCATGCCAGAACTATTGGACATATTTTTAGTGGTAGGGGAAACCGGAGTACCCGGAGGAAACCTACGCAGACACGGGGAGAACATGCAAACTCCACTCAGAAAGGCCCTGGTCCGGCCGGGATTTGGTGAATAGGAAACCCTAGGTGGTTTTGGAGGTACATATGGGGAGTGGTTTAGCATGTTGGACAGGACTCTAGATCGAGCTAATATGGGTGTGAGAGGAATAGTCTTCATGGCCGATTTTATTAGCCCTGCAGAGTGTTCAGGTAGGTCTAACAGTGAAGGCGGGGATGAAAAACAAAGGGAGGTGTCCCCATTCTCTCTTGATGGAGTGGACGTGGCAGGGGGGACCCAAGACAGGTCCATGGGAGGTGGCGAGGGAGTCTTTGATGGAGGGGCAGGTGGTTGAGGAAACCCCAGCACAGGCCTGTCTGCTGTAGGCTGGGGTGAGGATGGGGGCTTCCGAGGCGCTGTAGATGAAGAAGGCGTGGCTGCTTTGGAGCAGGCTGGGGATGAGGATGTTGGTGGTGATGGTCGTGCTGCTGGTGCTGCTACTGGTGATGATGCAGCTGCTGCTGGTGATGATGCAGCTGCATCTGATGACAGTGGAGGTGTTGAGATCCTTTGAGACGGTGATGGTGTTGAGATCCTTTGAGGCGGTGATGGAGTTGAGATCCTTCGAGGTGGTGGTGGTGTTGAGATCCTTCGAGGTGGTGGAGGTGCAGAGACTTTTGGAGTTGGCTTCCTCCCTTTCGATGGCTGCACGCGCTGCGCAGGCTGAGGTCTCAGGGCAAAAGAAAGGTTATCCATCAACACTTTTACTCCGTAAGTGTTCAGATGTGGCCCTTT